GCACAGCTAGCCTTCAACGTCTTTCTCCTCGCAATGTTCAGCTACATCCTCTGGTGTTTCTGGAGCGCCATCCAAGGCGACGTCAACAAGAAAGCCTTCGAAGCCAGTGCCGACATTATCGCAGAGATCTCGCAGTGCGCGCACGACTTTAAGATCAACAGCTGTGATTCGCCTACACGAGCGCCGGCATTGCAGCAAGTGTGCGCGAATTGGGCCAAGTGTATGAACAGGGATCCGATGAAGGTGGCACGGGCGAAAGCGTCGGCGCAGAGCTTCGCGGAGATATTCAATGGGTTTGTGGATGCGCTTTCATGGAAATCTATCACGGTCGCTGCAGCGTTCGTGCTTGGAGGGCTGCTTGTGAGCAATGTTGCGTTCAGCAAATTGAGGCATTCGGCGAGCGTCGAGCAGCCTTGGGCGCATCCTTATGGGTATCAACAAGGTCCGCCTGCAACGCCGCAGACATCGAGGCAGTTCAGTGGGGAGAGAGGGTACTATGGGCAGGGTACGCCGTGGAGGGATGGGCCTGCGCTGGAGCCGTTGCCTAGTGCTGGGGCTTTCCAGGGGATTGAGGGGAGGGGAAGCCCGGTGAGGAAGTTGGGATATCATTGATTATGTAGCGATGATTGTGACTGCTGGTATATTGTCGAGCGCGTCACGTTATACTGTAGCATCGCATTCGCTTGTGCCGCTGCCATGAACTGCTCCAAATTGGTAGCGCCGTTTTAGTGAAGTCCGTCGAGCACGTTATTTCCCATGCTGTATTGCCGCAGCTTCCAGTTTGTTTAGACAGCACCTGGAAGGATGCATTTACTCGTCGAGGTAAGGATCATCCACACGCAGCCAACGCTCTGAGTGTGGCCAGCGGATCTTAGGAGCGGCGATGTCAGTGTGACTTCAAGCTGCATTTCGCTCTCCTGACCGATCTCAACGCGGGCGTGTCGTAGGGCGCACAACAGGCAGCGACAGATTCAAACTACATCATCTTTGCCGATGGGACAATCCACATAAGCTAAGTAACTATCTCGCCCAATTCGAGTCGTTCGTTCCCTCCAACCTAGACGTCGATATCCTGTGATCTACGATCATGGCCGAGAATGCCACCAAGACCCTCAAGGCAAGCTGCCTCTGCGGCGCCGCCTCATATGAAACCACCGTCCCATCCTCATCACTCCCTCTGAAGTCCTGGTGGTGTTCCTGCACATCCTGCCGTCGCATGACCGGCGCTCTAGCCCTCAACGTCGTCTACCTGCCGGCTTCGTTTTCCCCTCCTGAAGCACTGCTGAAGAAACTCACGGAATTTCAATTCACGAAACGCGTGTTCCAGTTGTTCTGCTCTACATGCGGGAGTCATGTTCTCGCGCGATGTCTGGATGATGCTGAGGCTAAGGATCCGAAGGTCACATGGGACGCGATGTCTGGAACGCTGGAGCAGTTCGATGGCTTCGTGCATCTGCAGGGGCATGAATTCATCAATGACACACTGGACGGTGGGATCTCGGATTTCGTTACTGCGATTGATGGCAGACAGCTGGATCGATGGGCCACACGACCGGAGAAGTCTGAGCAGCTAGCTTTGAACTGGAAGGACCCCAAACTCGCCGAGCTCAAGTCTAACAACGACAAAGTACACGCTCAATGTAAATGCGGTGGCGTCGAGTTCTGGATCGCACATCCCTCATCTCGCTCCACGCACGCTGCCTCGAACTGGCCTGATCTCCTTCGACCCAACGCGCCCGACAACCCTAACAATGAGTGCTGGTGGCTCCAAGACAACAACACCAAATTTCTCGCCGGTACCTGCAGCTGCAACACCTGCCGCCTCGCTTCAGGTCAGGAGATTGTGCAATGGGCTTTCGTCCCCACGGTCGACATCACCCTTGACGCTGCCGGGACCGTAAAGTTCGAGCGACAATTCGGGACCCTGAAGCAATTCTCAAGCTCTGAAGGGATCACTCGGAGTTTCTGCGGCGTCTGCGGCGCGAGTGCGTTCTACTGGGCGGATGATCGACCATTCTTGATGGATGTTGCTATTGGGTTGTTGGATGCACCTGAAGGCGCGAGGGCGGAGGGATTACTGGAGTGGAGAACTACGAGGCTGAGTTACAGGGAGGATGCTCTGGGGAGGGCGAAGGGGGTTGTGGAGGGGATCGAGAGTGGATTGGAGGCGTATGGAGAGAGGCGGGATAGGGATGAGAGGGAAGTGATTGAGGAGCGGGTAAAGGAGGGGGCGAAGGTGATGGTGGTGCGGTGAGTGGATCGTCCAACCTGCTGTACCGTGACCATAGGGTCAAACAATCGAATGTGATCGTTCTGGTCCACACTCTTGGAAATCAAGCCTATAATGTCTTGTTAGCCTGTTCGAGTCCACCGAGCCGAAATCTCGAGTGCAGCAAATCACGGGTCAGTCTCGTGAAGCCTATATCGTACAACTTACAGCCTGTAATTCGAACTTGCAGTGCGTATCAAATACTACAAGAGGACACCTCACTGTCGGCTTATCGGTATGTCGGCGTCTCGGTTTCGCACTAAGCAAAAAGTTCACTTCGAAATTCCCAAAGTGGAAGGAGCAATACCCCACCCACTACGCTATGGTTTATATCCTATTAGCCCTCGCGCCAACCAATCAGGGCTCGCTTAGCTCAGTTGGTAGAGCGCGTCACTAGTATGTACGTTCATGACGAGGTCAGAGATTCGAATTCTCTAGCGAGCATTTTTTGGTTTTCTCCCTTCGTTCTGACACTCATGACGTCTCTCTACGCTTCACAGATGATCAGGGCGCCCGATTGCGGGGCACCTTGCGGCTCAGCGATGCCAGAGCAGAGATAGCAAGTAGGCGGAGCTTGAACATCTAAAGCAGGTATCGGATTGGTAGCCGCAGAGTAAAGATTGTATACGTCGACATATCACTTATCTACTTTCGAACCATCGTTGATCTGCTGCTCCTGTTGTTCTCGAGCTGAGATAGCGCCAGCGTAGCAATAAGAGACATGGGAATGAAGTTATTTCTCTGAATGTACTGAGATCCCTGTCTCTCAATGGTACTCCACGACGGAGCCGCAGCCCAAAGTGACTTGTCAAGTGCCATGGCAAGGTAGATTCTACCAGAACAAGCAAGACATCAGCTGAAGGAAGCGAGTGCAGTTGTATTGTGGCTCATAATCGCGCCTTCGCTACTCGGAAAGTCTGGGAAGGTCCTATGCTTCTATGAAAGCCCTCACGACAGCCAGATCGTAATACAGTGCTGGGGAGAAAGAGATTTGCGGGTGATTGCAGTGCTCTCAAACTCTTCAAGTCGCTCAGAAGTGCAGTACAGAACCGCCGTGATGCTGGAGCCGAGCTGGGCTGAGCACTCACTGGCTGTCAGACGTGTAGAGAAGCAGACCAGGTGACAGGAGCTGTCTTCATCACGGTCCAGCTAGTCGAGCAGACTTGAGGTTCTTTGCGTGGCCAGGACGTCCCAAAAAAGGTGCATATGACTTGGGGTTCTCGAGAGCACCGCGAAAGCCGAGGCATTGACCTCTTGTAGCGTAGAATGCAGGTTTGGCTTTTCTCTCCTTCCTGAACTGCGGGAATGCTACTCAGGATACACCATCTTCCTCGTGACTCCTCCATCGACCACAAGCTCAGTTCCCGTAGCTCCGCTAGTCTCAGCCAGGTACTGCACCGCCCGCCAAACATCCTCCACATTTCCGACTCTACCTGTCAGCTGCCACTGATGGTCTGCCTCGCTCAAGCCTTCTTCCCAAGGCTGCCCAGCCTCATCAGCGGCCTTGCATTCATTTGCCACATGGATCCACCCCGGCAGTATGGCATTAACCCTCACACCTTTCGGCGCAAGAGACACAGCCATCGACTGCGTCAGGCCAAGCAGTCCAGCCTTAGTAGTCGCGTAAGCCTCATTCGCGGGCTCGGACTGCTGAGCACGAGTGGAAGACATGTTGATGATACACCCTCCCGATGGTCTTGACGAAGACTTGGATAGATACGGCAAGCAGTGCGGGGACATCAGCATGGGAGCTGTGAGGTTCACCGCTAAAGATGTATGCCAGAGATCCATTGGCATGTTCGAGACATCAGCGTTGCCTACGCCAGCTGTATGGGCGGCGTTGTTGACTAGAACGTCGATCTTTGAACCGAAGAAAGCCGCTGCGTCCTTGACTGTTAATGCTATCTGATCAGGCCTGGACAGATCACAGAGGGCTGTACGGAACTGATTAGAGGTCTTGAAATGTAGGGCGAGCACTGTAGCGGTATGACCGAGCTCTTCGGCGTTATTGTCGAGGAGAAAGACTCGATGGCCGTGGGAGAGTAGATGTCTACTGAGTCCGCGACCGATGCCTCGACCAGCGCCGGTCACCAGGTAATTGCGCGCAGTGGTGGCTGCCATTCGTGATGACCTGGCCTAGATAGATTCTGCAACGAACAGGTTGCGATACAGACTTGCTGCTAGTTGTGTAGCATATTCAAGCGCAACATAAACCATGGGGATGACGAGGAGATGAAGTCATGATTAACCTAGCTTTAGCGTGCGGTCCTTACATCGCCTCAGTTTTGACTACACTTCAAATTGTCTCCCAGACGAAGACATGACCAACCTCACGAATTCCATTCTTATGTTCAGTGGGCAGGCATACTCAAATCACGATGTCGTGAGCAACGAGTAGTACGAGCGGCTCGTTCATTCAGGTTCCGTGTGGTCGGGGAGCCACCCCTTGAACTCCGAGGTCGATCGACGATGTGTTGTGTATCGCACATCATCCGAAGATGTCGCGGATGTCGAGGATGCGGTGTATGGATCATGGGCGAGGTCTAGATCTTGCGCCATAATGGGCTACTGCAGCTGCGGATCCACAACAAAGGCCGCAGCCGGAAACGAAAGCGTGGAAGTGCTTGTAGGTGACGCACAGAACGTCAAGGCGCGTAACGTGACCAGACGTCAAAGCGTATGAGGCAACGATTTGCAGGCGCGTGTGGTCTGAAATATGGTTTTCTCAAGCTACCAGAAACACTTTGTAAGCTTGCGAGGTGGGAATGACGGTAAGAGGCTATTCGGGGGTTTATTATTAATTGCCACACGATCGGCAGTTCCCGCTGTCTTCAGGGTCCACACGCAGCTGTTTCGGACAGTTCATTGCCAATCCATTTCTCAAAGACTCCCAGCTCCAGCTGCCCTGCGCCATGTACCGTGTCCCTGAGGTCGTCTTATTCCCAAATCGCCACCGCTGCTGACCCAAATACGAGCTCGTGTCTACGGATTACATTCACTTCTGTGCCTGAGGTGCGACTTCCGCCACCTTAGAAACTACGACGTCATCCAACAGTCTCGCTGGCTGAGTCGAGTCTCCTCGAGGCATCTTCAGCACGCGACATAATAATCCACCTTGCACTGTCCGCGATGGCACCAAATGATCTCTGACACGGCCGCGTTCCACTCTACTGTAAAGGTCCCATCGATGTACACGCGATCGAGGTGAAGATGTCAGCGACCGCGACGTCACCACGTTATACACAGCCCACGGCGATCTCGTCCCCTTCGAGTCGCATTCCTCCCTCGAGGCGTCAGGGCAGTTCCAGCACGGGTCATGTTATGCCTCCCTATCTTACACCCCGACTGGCCACATCACACGATTCAAGCCACATGCCGAAGACGCCGAGTCCTAACTATTTCGGTTTCCAGACGAACGGAGAGTCGAATAACGACGATGTGCAACACTCGAAAGCACATTGGAGTCCGCCCACTTCGACTGTGCAATCGACAGCTGCAGTATCACCAAGCGTGATACCTCACGAGCAGAATCCAGAGTTCAGTGCCTTCAAGAAGCAGAGTGAGGGTAAATCTTTCAATCTCGGTGGCATGAGCGGCTTTGCGATGAATGCGCCGCCTGCACGCAATCAAGCAAGCAATCAAAACAAAACTGTGCTCGCCCAAGAGGGCGCAAAGAGCGTTTCTGCGCCAAAGACAATGCCGCCTCCGCCAAGGGTGGGTAGGGAGTTGCTGGAGCCAAACGTGTCCGAGATGTCACAATCACCTAAGAGGATGCTATCACCGGACTCTAGAATGTTTCCAGACGTAGCGCGCAGAGGTTCGCCTGCAAGTATGGCTGATGGCGAGCATGGTGAGAAGCACAGGCGCGAGCACTCGCCAGAGCGACAGCCACGGAAAGCTTTGCCGCTGGATACGAATACAAGTGGCAGTTACGCAATGCCGATACACCGCGCGGAGACTCTACCGGACAGAAGTAGTGATGAGAGTCAAGTCATGGCCACTGCGCAGCGGATCATCAATTTGCTGGAGTCCTGTGACGAGGAGGTGCTCATACTGGACTTGCGTGTGTCCACACACTTTGCACAAGCGCATGTCGCAGGCGCACTTACGTTATGCATCCCGACTACGCTACTAAAGAGGCCTGCCTTTAATGTAGAGAAGCTGGCCGCAACATTCAAGGACGAGGGCCAGCGTGCCAGATTCGAGAATTGGAGGAGCAGCAAGTACATTGTAGTCTACGATAACAGCTCGGCGCAATTGAAGGATGCAATGACCTGCATGAATACTATCAAGAAATTCAGGACGGAAGGATATTCTGGGACACTGTATATTATCAAGGGTGGGTTTCAAGAGTTCGCAAAGCGCTTCCCGAACTACATTGAGGCTGGGGTCGATGCCACGAGCGATGATGCGGGAGCTTCAGGAACAGATTCAGAGGGCAGGCTGATACCGCCTGTCATCGGTGGCTGCCCAATGCCACTGACCGACAAGCCTGCAAATCCGTTCTTTGGTAACATCAGGCAAAACATGGACTTGATCGGCGGAGTCGGTCAAATGTCCCTCAAGCACCCGACGCGTGCGACAAGAGCGACCGAGGATAGCTTCCCAGCTTGGATGAAGCAGGTGTCGGACGATCGAGACCAAGGCAAGCGAGTGTCGGACCGCTTCGAGCAGATTGAGCGTCGTGAGAAGAAGCGTATGGAGGACGCACTTTCCGGAAAAGTCACCTTTGCCACGTCGCCACACGCATCGAAGCATGCGAAGGCAGTCAAGAACATCCAGATCGCTGGTATTGAGAAGGGCAACAAGAACCGATACAACAACATCTGGCCTTTCGAGCACTCGCGAGTACGTCTGCAAGGTGTCCCAAGTCACGGCTGTGACTACTTCAACGCCTCCTACATCAAGGCTGCCTGGAGCAACAAGCGCTACATTTCCACACAAGCACCAATACCGGCGACATTTAACGACTTCTGGAACGTTGTCTGGCAGCAGGACATCCGAGTGATTGTGATGCTGACAGCAGAGCAAGAAGGGGCGCAAGTCAAGGCTCATAATTACTGGAATGGGAAGCAGTATGGGCAGATACACCTGGACTTCTTGTCCGAGAAGCGCGCTTCGGTCGAACCGGCTAAGATCAGTCGAGCAAAGGCGCGACCCTCAGTAGCTAGGAGATCGTCCACGAACCCAGCGAACATCCCATTTGCACCTGTAGAAGCCAGGGACGACAAGTCTAAGGCGGAGCAGCCGTACGTGATTGTGCGCAAGTTCACGTTCAGTCATGAGAACTTCCCGTTCGAGCGCATGCGGGAGATCACACAACTACAGTACTCATCATGGCCTGACTTCGGTGCGCCAGCTCATCCTGCTCACTTACTCGGTCTAGTGGAGCAGTGCGACTCGGTCGTTCGAACGGTCAACAAGACGCACTCGAGTGAGCCGGA